GATGGTGCATGAGATTCAGGCGTCCCTATACGTCTTTAAATATCCTAGTTACTGTTTTTGTAAGGAAAATCTTATATTTGGGGTATCTTGACAAATTATCCTTCAAACATTGTGGAAAATATTTCCTCCCTCCAACTCGACCATGATCATAGATTGGATATAGGTGAAAATGATTGCTACTTCAAAATGGCAAATAAAAGTAGAGACACTGGGTTCCTCAACTCACTCATTACTTCATACACTAACAAAGACTTCTATACTGTTTTTTGATAAAAACCAGAAGGAATCATACTGACAAAATTACATGAGAAATAGCACAGTGAAGTTCCATAAAAATACTGATTTTTATACCATTAATACAGAATCTTTCTCTCTAGATACATATATTTTGTATATAATATTAATAAGATGACTATTGAAAGTGGCTCAGGACAGGAAAAAATGTTTCTGATATAGTTCTACACATAACAAAACAGAACTTTGGGAAAAAAAAAGCTTACATAGGAATAATCTCAAACATTTGTTTTGATGGATTTTCTCTAAAACAGGTCACATTTTGGAACTGAGAATAGAAAGTGCTATCTTAACTGGATCACTGGTATGCCATAACTTCTTTATTTGCCTTTTCCTTTGAAACTTTTCTTACCGATTTAAACATTATTTCACATTAAAAAAAATGACACAGATACATGGCAACAGGGCCAATTCTGGAGCGTTGCATATTCTTCGATTACTCTACATACTTATTAATTGTTTCTCACATTTAGCACTTATCTTTGTTTCATTAGTTTTATCATTGGAATATTTTTTGTCTGTTTTCTCTATATTAAAGTTCCCCTTAGCCTTCATACACAAGAACTGGCCATGCAGTTGTCAATGAGAGGGACATATGCCTTGCTTTATCATCTCATAAACCCACTTTTGTATTCCCTGAGAGTTCTGAAGCAATTACTGAATATATTACCACATTATTCCAGAGCTGAGAAAACCAAAGACCACTTGGCAATGCCACCTGCACAGCCACACTTTCATCTCCAGGATGTATCTTTCTTTCTGAGCTATGAAGTTTATCATCAAGGACTGATGAGGACACCAACCCTTCTTGTCCTAAAGCTTCATCATAATTTTTGGTTTGCTTAGGATAAATAACATCCTTTAGTATTGTTGGTGCAATAATTTGAGGCAGTAGGTGAACTTTGGTAATACTTTGGTAACACCCTGCACTGAAGTTTCCCCAGAGGTACATCAGGTGTAGTCAATAGACCCTGGTCATGCTCTCAGGAGGGGCTCATCTGTTGTCATTCACTGCTGGTTGTTTCAGATGGGAAACCACCTCTACTGAGAAGAGGTGCACATAAGCTACCCCCCTGCAGAATGGCAAGCTCCTTCTTCACTGTTTGTGCCACTGCAGAGCTTCACACCAGCCCAGCTTCTTTCCTTTAACCTCCCTGCATGCATCCTCCATTGGCGTCACCTCAATCTCTAATGCTGTTCAGTCCCACCTTTGCAGCTTCCCTGCCTGCTTCCTAAATAGATTTCCCAATGGGCACTTCATTCACTGGGAATTCTGCCTTCCCTGGCCGTCACTTGTGGGGAAATCAGGCTATTGTCCTTACAGATCAGGTGAAGGATTTGGGTGGTGGCAAGTGGTGTTCAGTGGTCACACATGTAGCTAGGAGAATATCTGATAATAAAAATGGTTGCATTTTAATTCCCACAGCAGGTGCTCTTTGTCAGTTTTTTTCAAAAAATTTTTCAAAGTACTTTAAAGCTCTTCTATTTGTGCAAGTTGGCCTCTTTGCAAATTTCTGTATTCACTAACTTTTAAATTTCTCTTGCCTAAATGATATAGCTTAGAAGCCTTATTGTTATAAAGCAGAAATTTTAACACATCCGGCCGAGGTCCCCACTAGAGAACGTGTGTGACCTTACCTGTTTAATGAGCCAGCATCCACCTCCCAATGAAAGCAGCTCACAGTGCGATCTGCAGTCTGTTCCAGGCACAAAAAGCCAGACCCAAGAAACTCCTTTTTGTTTTTTTGTTGTTTTGTTTTAAATCTGAATAATTCCACGTTGAAATCCCTAATACTTTCCTACAGCAGATGTCTTACAAAGTTTGGAATTTTGTGAAATCATAATTTAAAAGCCATTTGCTCCTTCTCTTAGAAATTTTCTTTTGTGTTTTTTTTTTTGTGTGAACTAATAAATATTCATAGTTAATACTTCTCACTACTTCTATTTTACCATTATTTTCTTCTGAGATGTTTCATTTATACTTGATAATGAGTCTCCATTTATGATTACACCCTGTCACCATTAATAAGTTTTCCATTTCTTAAAGATTAAGTAGCTTGATTTCCCTCACTGCTCAGTTAAAAAAAAATTTACTACATACTGAGCCATTGCTTTACAGAAATCATTTTATGGTATAGTAGAACAATTTCCTTTTGAACCAAAGTTTTTCTCTCATAAAAATAGACATACAAAAAATAATTTCTATAAAATGTATAAACTCTCATTTTAGCATTCTTTGATTTCAGGTTCTGGAGGGTATATTTCAATCTCAATTTTAACTATTAGTTTTTTCATAATTTTGCTAATATCAGTGTAAATAGACAGACTAATGGAACTTTAGTCTTATTGTTTTAACTATTGGCATGACATTAACTTTTCAGTTCTCTGTCAGTGTCTCATTTTTCCAAGGTTTTTTGAAGAAGAGAATGAATGGCCCAGAAAAGTTCTTGGACTGTTCTTTCTAGCCTCTTGAGAAGAAGTAGCTTAAAAGTATGTAATAACTTCTTTTAGCACCTATTCTAAGCATTGAAGCTATACAAAATATTTTCGTGTTGCTGTGAAATACAGTCAGTTTATCTTTTTTTTTTCCTCCAAGAGTGTAGTAATCATTCAGTACTGATGCTACAAATGAGCTGAAATCTATGTTGACATCTTTTTCCTAAGTACACAAGAAGGTATTCCAGTTTCAGAACAGATGTTAAACTTTGACACATCGAAACCTGAGAAAACAGTCCAGTCTTCATGTTTTCTATGTTAGCCATGCCGGCTATCTCTTTCTGTAGGTAACTTTTACCTGACGAATCCTCTAATTGCCTATACTGGTTGGGACTACCTGTTCTGGGAACATAGGCAAGCTCTGCTTCGATGTCTACGTAGACTTTACCATGTCTGTATCTCCTGGGAAGTCCAAGAAAATAGGCATGATTAATACTGTGACTTCCTGAAGGTACTGCTTAAGTTTTACCTATGTAAATCTTGTGACGATCAGCCACAAAGTCGTAACCTAAAATGTAGGATCTACTCAGATTGACTGAAACTGAACCTTGATCTCCTGTATTGTAAGACAGTGCAAACCATTACCCCATAGCTTATTGTTCTCCATCCCTACTGCTGAAGTTGAAGGGATATTTTCTAAACGGATGCTTAGAGTCTGAGCTTAAGCTGAAGTATCTTACAAAGTGGGGACTTCAGAAAATAAGGAGGAGTTGATGGTGGGCACTAAGGTAATAGTAGAAAGGTAGAGAGGAGTTAGTGCAGAGAATGTGAATTAGAGTGCACTGGTTGATCTAGTGTCAATAAAGCCTCCTGTTAACTCCCTATCCAGTATGCTCTCATTACAATAAGGAGCAAAAATTAGTAAGTACAACCCTTTTAATTCAGCTTAACAAGACCAACTTAAATTTGTTTTGATTAGGAAGCATAGAACTTTTCTGGACATAATATTCTAGAAACATTTCATATAAATTGATAATAATGTGTTACTTTGGCTTTCATTCCTCTTTCATTAATGTTTAAATACGCAAATTTCTTAAAGGACAGATATTCTTGTTTCCACTTAGTTCTGCTTATAAGTAACAAGCCCAATGGCTCAAATCAGAAGACATAGCTTGCAAAGAAAGTGGAAAATTGGATATTTTCAGCTAAGCAGTGTTGTATTTAAAAGCACAAGTGAGTGGGACGTTCACTGTTTTAACACAATTTCACAGATGTGTCTGAGAGTAAGATTTTGCAAGGAAGAGGAAAGTAGCTGAACAGTATTTGTTTACTGTATGTTTCTCTACTACACAGATTACTCAAAGAAAAATACACACATAACCACAAAACACGTAAAATTAATGCTTGCAGTGCAAGCGCGCCCTTGTAAATTGGATTGCCTATAAAATAAATAAGTAATGATGAGCGTTATTTTTTATAAGTATGATTTATGCCACTGTTCATCACATGCCATTAGACAAAAATGCACAATTAGAGATCCAAGCAGCAGCTCTACTCATCTCAGCTGTCTGCTAAATGTTATGTTATGCTTGCATTTTAATTTAATAAGTGTGAAGCAAGAGAGGAATATATGCAACTTGGCTGTTATCAATCTGGAAAAGTAAGGCTTAGAAGAAAACCTTGTTTCTAAATCAGATATTCTCTACCTTTTTTCTCTTTCAGCCTTAAGCGGTAAATACTTAGTCTAAACTCTGTATACCTATTTCTTATTGAAAGAGTGCTAAGTAAGTAAAATGCTCTTCACTTATCTTTATATGAACATGGACATGAATTTGAAGAGTATCTGTTGGTAGCACAGAGGAAAATGACTTTTTCTAGTTTTTAGGTCTCTGTCATCCCCTTATGGTCTATTTTGGCTGCAGTTTTTGCATATATACCTTTTCACACATATGTGCCACTACACCTTGCTCTTCTCTATATGACATACAGAGGATCACTCAGCACGATATAGTACCCTTAATTGTAGTATTACGCAAAAAATTCCAATAAAAGTTTGTTATAAGCTGTGGGTCTAACTCAACACCCTAGCAAAAAGCAAGAATCTGCCCATTTGCATTTCCTTTCCATTTAAAGTTCATTTTTGATACTGGTTTCAGTAGGCAGACAACATTCTAAAGGGATATCCCATAAAATATTCAGATTACAAAAATCTAACACCTGATTATTTCTCATATTGACTGCATGATCCAACGAAAACTAACATTTTATACCTTTTCATGAACCTTTTGCCCTGGCTCCATTCCTTCAATATGCTCTGCTTCAGCAGGCCCTTCACCAGCTGCCATTTTCCTTTGAATGTGTGCATTTTGTTCACGCAAAGCTACAATCTGCAAAAGAAAGAAAATAAGTGCTCAATATACATAAGAAACTGAAAAACTGCTGAGCAGACAATTTGTTAAATCTATTAACATTTCAAACCTGTATTGGCCATTTATAGCATTTGCAAAATTATGTCTGTACATGCAGATAGGTATAAAACCCATACATTTAAATAACAACTAAAGGCCATTAAGGATACAAAGGAACCAATAAATGACATGATAGTCAACATTGTCTTGTTTTATCTTCTATCCTCACATTGTGCTAGGGTACTTTTTTTTTTTAGTTTGAAAGATGAAAGAGCTTTTAGGCGTTGATTTTGTAACACTGCAAGAA